TATTCCTCTACTGCACCACCCCCACACCCCACACCCCACACCCCACACCCCATTCCCCTTTCTTACCTCCTTCCCCGGCCGCTGCACGTGCGTTTCAGGACACGTGCATCGAGGAAGACAGCATGCCACCGTGGTGCTCCCTCACCAAGCACTACGATGAGGACAAGCAGCGCGGCGACTGTCTCATTCACGCGTCAAAACCGTTTGTGAAGCCCTCGCCCAACACCCCACCGCCGAGCCCGCCGCCGCCCCCGCAGCAGGGGTTTGGCCACCAGTGCCTGCAGGCAAACGAGGGTGAGGAAGTTGTGCTGTCGTGTGCACAGGACAAGCGGCTTGTCATTGCTGCGATCCAGTTTGCGAGCTACGGAACGCCGACTGGCACATGTGGCGATTTCAAACAGGTGTGGCACCGTGTGGCGTCGTATCATATTTTGTTGGTATTGCGTTGGTGTTGCGTTGGTGTTGCGTTTGTGGTGCGTTGGTGGTGTGTTGGTGTGGTGCTATTTGCATGCATACACGCTCTTGCACGTGCGCATATACTGGTCCACCAACAACACGCCCCGCGCCAACTGTGCTGCTTGCATGCGTCAAGGGATCGTGTCATGAGCCAACATCGGCGGGAGTGGTGGAGGACCGGTGCTTGGGCAAGAAGTCATGCGTGGTGAGTGGCTGTGCAGTGTCTTGCTGAAGTTTAACGAAGCGATGATCGCTGGTGGTGCTGGCTGTTTTGTGGAGCCTGGTGCTTGTGTGTCGTGCCTGGTGGTTTAGGAAGGTGCTTTGCAATCGCCTCGTGCTTGTGCTGCGTGTATTTTCTATTGTAAGTGCAGTCCTAGATACGTGCACCGAACACAAACACACACACACATACACACACACTCTCCGCGAGCGACAGCGTGTTCAACCGGACGTGCGGATGGTTTGGGAAACACATTGCCGTGCAGTACAAGTGTGGATTTGAAGGTAGGGGAGCAAGCGGTGGCGTGATTGTTGGTAATGTTGATTGCTGTGCTCGCCCAACTTGCCTTGTTGGCACCGCACATGCCTGTACGTATATTGACACACAAGCGACCTTACTCTCTCACTCTCTCACACACACACACTCTCTCTCTCACACACACACACACACACACGCACACACGCACGCACACACACACGCACACACATACACACACACGCTTCTGCTGCTGTGCTGTCTGTCATCAGTCGAGGGCGAGTGGATCACGGTTGATGACGAGCTTCTGGCGAATGTGTTGGAGATGAAGGTCATCACACACGCAGGTGCGCGTGCCGTCGTAGTATTGCTTGCAGACACTCATGTCAAACGCTGTTGCGATCGTCAAGATCAGCCACACTTGCCAGGCACCAGCGCTCATGAAGCACACGCTGTCCCAATCTGCCTTCCCGTTGTGATTCCAACCTCATCACCACCATCACTCCGATCACCATCACCATCACCATTGTCAGCGTGCGGCGGGTCCGCCCCTGGCGTGACAATTCACAGCGATGTCGGTGTCAGCATGTCTGGAGCAAGCAGCTGCGGCGATCCTTGTGAGCTTTGTTATGCGCGCGCGCGTGTGTGTTTGTGTGTGTGTGTGTGTTTTGTGTGTGTGTGTGTGCTGTGTGAAGGAACATTGTTCTCTTGTGCTTGTTCTATGCTCGCAGGCCTGCTTGCGTTGAATGAGGGCATTTACACACACACACACACACACACACACACACACACACACACACACACACACACACACACACACACACACACACACACCTCTGCTCAAACCACCACCACCACCACCACCATGCTCAACATGTTCAGGGTGGGTGCTGGTTGAGATGACGCTGCCGTTCCGTGTGACGGGCGTCTCGGGCACAATTGAGGTGACCAACTCTCTCGATGACACCGCGCAGTGCGACGGCGACTGCTGGACAGCCAACATCACCTCTCTGCTGCCATCATCATCGTCACCATCGTCTTCGTCATCATCGGTCGCGCACGTGCCGGCGCCCGGTGTATACTTCGGGACACCAACCACTGCCCTGAAGCGGGTAAGTATGTCACGTGTGAATATGTATTCGTGTGTTTGTGTGCATGTGTGTTTGTGTGTTTGTGCGTTTATGTGTGTGTGTGTGTGCACTTGTGTTGTGTGGAGACGATTAAATTCACCGCTTCACCTTCGCTTCACTTGCCATTCCCCCCCCCTCAAACATTCACACGCACCCCCTTCCCTCATCATCATCACCACCACCGCCACCACCACTGCCCTCACTCGCCACCACCTTGACGACCGCCGTCAGGGCGGGGAGCTGTATCACGTGTACTTCCATCGCACGTGGCGCCTGCCCACCACATTCCTCGATACACCAACGTCGTCACTCGTCATCGCTGTCGCTGCAACGGAGACTGCGCACCCGACACTCAACTTCAACCTGGAGGTGTTCCAGACGGCAGAAGGTGCGCAATGCAACGCAATGCGCGCAGCTGTGTACTGGTATGCAGTCGTGG